TGCCGTGCCGTGCCGTGCCGTGTCGCGTCGTCAAATACGTGACTATATACGTGGCAACTATTCTTCACGTGGCTATTCTCTACGTCCTCCTCGATTAGCGTACGAGGACTTATTTTCAATCATCTTATAATTTTCTACACCCAACGCGCAACCCTCTTCATCAATATTTTATTTCGCGTCTTTATTTTTCAAGAAAGAACAAAGTCTAGAATATTACATGAAAATATATTTCATTAAAATTGCTTAATGGTGACAATTTATTTGTACTATTTTGTTGGACATCTTGCTAGCTTTTCATTATTCTTCCATCTAAATAAATAAGAATATACACATTTAATTAAAATTAGAAACCGTTATTTCTCTCAAATTATACTCTCGGAAATTTGTAAGATGCACTATCAATCATAAAAGAACGAGATTGGCATTAGAAATATTTCACAATATTGCAAAAGTATTTTGATTGCATCATCAACACCAGTGCATCAATTAGAATAGTATTTCTAAGTACATATTACAGTCACGAGACCCTCGAAATGACGTTAAAAGCATTCTTCGATTCAACCGACTGCCTTCGAATGATTCCATTTACGTTTTCATAGTTATCACCTTCGAATGTCTCACCTGGCGAGTCTCTTTTGTAAATCATAATTGCGGTTAACAGATCATTACGGAAAGCATTTGTGCTTTCTGCGAATGAGTTCGAATTTACAGACTGTGAGATTAAAATCACAAGGATTCCATTACAAGTTAGAGATTACTCTTTTCTATTAACTTACTTATATTAGTTTTTATTTCCTGACACATGAATGTGAATGAATTGCGTCCGAAAACAGTAAGGATTTCACCTCGCCGAGAATTAACCGCGATTATTTTTTTCTTGCTCCTCGATCAAGAAAGGACATTTTATCGTTCGAATAACGATATGAAGCGAAAAAAAAAACTTTGTAATTCGTTTAATATTCAGTTATATCCGGGTCTTCCTCTTCAGGATTGGAAATACTTGGCCGGATCGACTAAAACGAGACGCCTTATATATTTAAATTTAACAGACACATGGTAATTTAGTGCGTGCGTAAAATTCTTGTAAAATTCTTTTAAAATTTTTCTAAAATTCATGTAAAATCCTTCTAACATTAGCAAACAACGATCACGAGGTAGACCAAAACAAGACGAAACGCTTGCGTGTTAGTTATCACGAGGTTTCTTCTTATGCGAGAAAGAGAAAAGTGAAGGTGTTCAAGACTATGGCAAAACTACGGAGATACTACGGAGATACTACGGAGATATAGAGAGGAATGTAAAATAGCTAATAAAAATCTTCACGGATTCTCTACAATCCGTTGAGATCAAAATTAAATATGGGTTTTCTGCCTCTGTCTCTTTTGCTCCGCCATTTTGAAACACATGACGTCCGAGAATGTATTTATGTACGTGTGTATATGTTGCCTGATACTTTGTGAAATCCATTCATTTTTCAAATGACCAACTATAAATCCTGAAATAACTATATAAATATAAAAAAAACAAAAAAAAAGATAGAGAGAGAGAATTTTGTGCATATGTTACCGTCAAAGCCGGAAATCCGTCATTGCTAGTAATTCTTCGGCATGACTATAAATGCAGACGAAGTCGGAAATAAGACTTTTTCGAGAGATTATCCTATAGATAATATCAAATAACTATTTAAACAACGTTGAAAAGAATACATTCTAAGGCACAGACATACACAGCCATACGCAACCCCTTCCCCCCAAAACAACCCATACAGATAAAGAAGAACATTTCGTTCTAACCTGTGTATCTTCCGATACGATAATGAACAAAAGATACAGATTTCCGTGGAAATCTCTATGAATATCTGTCTAACTAATGTCTAGAAAATATAGCCTGAACCATTGCAAATCAATTTAGTTTTCGATAAGTTATTTTGGTAAGTATTTTTTATACTAAAAGTGAATAGATTTTAATGATTTTTATATTAAATTAAAGTGCACTCTTTTGTCTACGCGTAGAATACCATTTCAAGTTATAAATTTAGCATAAAAACTTCATTAAATGTTAGAGAATGCAATGCTGTAAATTGTGCATCTTTGCAATTTCTCTGAAAAGTTTCGGTTAATATTTTTTATACTTTTTGCAAATGGATTTTAATGATTTTTATATTAAATTAAAGTACACTCTTTTATCTACGCGTAGAGTCTCTTTTCGCGTTATAAAACAATCTGCAAAGGTTCAAAAAATGGCAAAGAAAAATTGGCGGATCAGACATTCTTCACATTGCTAGCATTGCCGGGGGGAAGTTTGGAACCTACACTTCAGCTAAGTAATATACGAATTTACAAGAGACGAAGCTGTTAAGATATGAAATTGAAATTTTATTCTAATATAAGATTAGATTTGATAAAACAGCATGACTCTCTCTCTCTCTCTCTCTCTCTAACGGAACATTCTCAAAGTACAAAAAGAGATAAGAACTATGAGCATTATTGTAGAAAGAATGACGGATTTGAAATGCTGATCAAATTTGATTGATATGCTTATATACGATAAATAATACATTTAAATATAGATACATATATGTCGCATCTATAGAAATCATAAGGAAAATTGTTTTATTAAGAAACTTTAATACAGAAATACAGAAATTTAATACAAGTCAATATGTTTTATTCGTACGAAATGAATGATTAAAATAAAGATAAGATGGAGACGGGACCAGAAAGATGGAATACGTTACGAATGATTGACTCTTGCACGCCACTGTAGTTTCCTTCGGGCTAAGTGTAGGATAATTCAAATCCGGTTCCGGATAGCAATAATATAAGCGAGATAAAGATACCATGTACGTAATCTATTATGAAAGGAATAAAGGATGAAGATTCGTGTGGGTTCTCTGTTAAGTTTATTCTGCGATAAATAATCCGATACCACATATGGAGCAATAACCTTCTATTTTCTACATCACCTATCGTAATATCGCGATAGGAACGCTTATAAAGTTACGAGAAAAAAAAAAACAAAAGAAGAAAATGAAAAAAGGAATAATTATTATTGAATAATTATCTCTTTCGAAAATTCATTTTAGCGATTGTTTAATGATAAGCTTAGATATATTTGTCCCGCTAATTCCATGAGTCATAACAAATTAGCACAGATTATTTCCGGAATCGTGTTGATTCGTTTGCTTATGACAAACGTGTATGTATGATTTAATACGAAATTGCAATGATTACAACGTGAATAGTGACGTTCACGAAGCAGTAATGGCCGAGCGCTTAAGGCGTCTTACTAAAAATCAGAAAAACAGAAAATCAAAGACCCCCACTCCCCTCTGGGAAAGCGTAGGTTTTAATACTACAGGCTGCAAAAATTCTATCTGAACGTAATAACATCAAATTTGTGCACAATGTATAATTTCTTCTCTTTGTTCTTATTACTACTTGCAGAAAATGATTGAATATCAAAAGGAAAATAATCTGTATATAATACAAATTATAAAATAAATTTATAGTTATTTTGTACTTTAATTGTATGAACAAAAATACAAATCTGTATGAATAAAAGACGTGGGAGAATTATAAGAAGAGAAGAGTTTTAATTAAAGTCGAGAAAGAAAGAAAGAAGAGACGAAAAATCATGATTTCCGATTAGGTTAACCGCAAATTGCTTGGCTGTATGGTTTTACATCGGTATAATTGACCAAACTAAAACCCATTCGTGTTCTCTCTTTTGTTGCTCATCTCTCAAAGTAAAGGAATAGGAAAAGAAAGTGCTAAATATCGGAATATTGTATATGTAGGAGTGTACGGAATGTGCAATAGGCTTCTTCGGTAACATCTTTATACAATATATATCTATCCAAGTATGTGTACTACATCGTTAGCGTATAAGGTATCTCACGAGGAATCGCGTGATTCTCATAGAAGACTCCTCCGATCACGCGCCTAGCCGTCACATGCGCAATACTTATTCCGCATCATTACACCACAATATCGAAAACTATTGTACTCTTGTAAAACCGTTGGAACGCGATGACATCTTCTTAAAAAACGGACGTTCCGTTACACGTGCCGTTATATCATACAATCGATTATCAAGTATACTTTTATGGAAAATAACGTTAGATCGAAGCACGTTCCAAGGAATGCAAATTATGTCATTAGATTTATGTAACGATAGGTAAGGTAAGGTACTCGCGTAGACAAAGAGTAGAGATAACGATCAGAAACGCGTTAGGGGATACGCTGCTAATATCAAAATGTCGACCGCGTCAGGGTTAAGGTCCTTTTTTTCATATTTCCATATTTTTCGTTGCATTCCATTGCAACCGTCGTAACAAATCGTCGATTTTTACAAGTGCAACAACCCGTGGCGCATTGCGTTTGTCCTTGTCACAGTATTCCCATCGGGAAAAATGCAATCAGCCAGGAGAAGTTCGGTGTCCTTGCAGGAGATCGCTCCTCCGTTATTACCATGATTTTCAAAATGGCTTTCTGCAATCCTTGGACGATTGCAAAACTAAAGATTGCGTCAATGGCTCGTATACGAGGCGCGTAGACGACGCACGTTCGCTTATGTTGCCTCAAATTAAGATCACTTAATCTTATTTGCGATTCCTACTAAATTCATGCAAATTACGCGCTTCATTTGATAAATAAATATATCTATTATTTGTTTAACGCGAGAATCGAAAAAAGGTGCGGAGTAACTAGATCATTCAAACTTTTCTCTTTCAATATTTCCTCGCTATTATCAGTGATGATAGATAATATTTGAGAGATCAATGAGAATAATAGTCGAGTGTCGAAGTGACATTCTTCGATATTTTTATCGGTTATTAAGGATTGCAGTGCAACGCATAAAAAAAAACTCAAAATTAATTAGACGACAAATTTGATCGGGTTGCCATTTTATGAACCTTTTGATTCATTTGAAAATCAAATATTTTAAGCGCCTAAAAGAATTTTAAGAATCGACTTATAATCGATAGTTTATTCGACATATCGAAAGGTCGATACCTACAAGTAAATATGTTATAGCGATATATTGAAGTTTTTAACAGAAAGTATAAAGAACATTAAATTCGTCAACGAACGAATTTTATATTTGTGCAATTAGAATTATTTCGAAAAAATCACAATGAACTTGTTTACGAGACAATGTATGAGGATTCTTAAAACGTCCACTCAAATTTGCATTAATAGTCCGAAAACTATTGGTTATAAAAGTGCGGTTTCTTTGGAAAATTTATATCCTGGAAGTAGCTTGAAATTATTTACAGCTAATTTCGTAAGCGTTTTCAATACGTTACATAAACATTATTTTTCTACAAAAAAAAAAAACATGCATATAATAAAATACTGTTTATAGGACATAACCTAATTTCAAGTTTTGATGAATTTTATGATAATATTCTCAGGTACCAGAAGATCCCTCGGCCAAATTTAATGGATATATTCCTATCGAAAAATTAAATATAACCTACAATCGTAGTAGTGGTCCTGGAGGACAACATGTAAATACTGTAAACACTAAAGTAGATTTAAGATTTAATGTGAAAGATGCTACATGGTTGTCGACTGAAATTAAAAAGAAACTATTGGAACAGGTAGATGGAACAAAGTGATTTTAACATGATTTAAGACCTTATATATGATAATAAACATATCTTCCTGTTCTTAGCAAAAAAACAAAATAAATAAAGAAGGCTTTTTAATAATTAAATCCGATCTCACAAGATCTCAACAGTTAAACTTAGCCGATGCATTAGAAAAACTTAGAACATTGATATGGAAAACTGTGGAAGAGCCACCGCAAATGACCCAAGAAACCGAAGAGATTATAAGAAAGAGACAACTCAAAGCTGCGAGGGAAAGAATTTTTGTAAAAAGAATACGTTCGCAGATAAAGCAAAGTAGACAGGGCACTCCTGTAGACTTTTGAATGCAAAAGATAACTATATAGAAGATGTATTTGAACGTACAGAAACTAGTAATAGAAGAATAAAATATAAATCATTTTATTTTTATTAAAATCCCATTGTGTGTAAGTTTGCGTCATTTGTATATATACAGGATGGTAAAAAATAAAGATCCGATATATCAGAGGTATAAAGTATACTTAGTTGAAGGAATATTTGAAAGCGTACATCAATCTATGATCTGTAGACGTCAGAATTGCAAATATCTCATTTCTACATATTATGTTCTGCGTCTACCAAATTATCTTTGTCGAATTAGAGTAATAGTTTTCGTTTATTTTCATAATAAACTTATTTTGATAGCTAATGCATTTCTAAGCAAATTCCTCAGCGAAGATTCAATATGTTGCCAAAAGATTCGCTTATGATATCGAATGCTCAGAAATAATAAAAATTAATTAACTTTGAAAGGGTCAACTTTAGGACCCACGTTAATTAGACATTTTTCTAATTTTCTTGATAAATACTATAAGCCTTAAGATAAACGGAACTTTTTCTTTTTATCATCTTTTATATATATATATATATATATAATTATGTCAGATGCGAAGTTGTAGTTAACGTTATGTTAGTTTTATAGTTGTCGTCATGGTAACGAATGCAGCCTAAGTGAAAACAAAAGTGAATAGAAACGATTGATCTGTGGTTAATTTCTATTGTTTGAAAAAATACAAATAAAGTAAAAGAAAAAGATGTCTTTCCGAGAATTACGCAGTATGTAAATTCACACATTATATTTAGAAAGATATGTAACTATTTTCTATCATATATATATAAATAAAAGTAGACGAAATAAATAAAATATTAATAACAAATTAATGAGCAACGTCTTACAATATTATATAGACTTTACAGAGACCATGAGAGTGCTTGGATATCCAAGATTAATATCGATAGCTAATTTTCGCACACCGAATTTTCCTTTGGTAGCAGAAATTTTAGTCTGGCTCGTAAAAAGATTCGATCCGGATGTAGATATAACCTTCGAGCATAATACCGAGGAAGAACGAATTTTTTTAATACGTAGTGTCGCTGAATTTATGGTAACCATTTATAATTATTTATTTTAATTATAAACGTGAAGAGAATAATAGTTGGATAAAATCAAATATAGTATAGCATTATAAAGAGAAAACAATCGTTCGACCAATCAGAATCTAGCATTACATTTGCTACAAAATCAAATGATTAGTAATATTGACCTTTTACATTTATATATATATATATTACATATTAATTAAATATTTATTGTGTACAGGCATTAAATACTAACGTGAAATTAAATACGAAAAAACTATATCAAGCGGACGGTTATGCTGTACAAGAATTATTAAAGATAACGAATCTCTTAAACGAAGCTCAAAATCGTGGTAGTGAAAATATAAATTATAATGATAATCGTAAGATCATAGAATTCAACATTTCTGACGAGATAAACGAATTAAAATCTACGAGACAATTAGCTAGTCTCTTGACAGTGAATGGTGCTACGCTTTTTGATCTTCTTGGCAGAGAAGTAGAACTTCGTGATATTAGAAACAACAAAGCTGGTAGACAATTCGATACTGCTGAAATAGAAAATGCTTTGAAGAATGTTATTGAAAATATGAGAAAAGAAATAGAAGATACTAAAAAACAAATCGACAATGTTAAGGTATTAAATAATTATATTTCATTAAAATGATTGTTTTTTTTCTATCAAGATTTTTATCTATCTTTCTATTTAAAGGATACAGAGCAAAGTCTTGATACAAGGATAGAAAGACGTAGATCAGAATTAGAGAGAAATCAAAAGAGACTTCAAGCTTTAAGAAAAGTTCGTCCTGCTTTCATGGAAGAGTATGAAAAGCTCGAAGCAGAGCTGAGAATTTTATACAACGATTATTTACAAAAATTTCGATATCTTTCATATCTAGAACATTTACACGAGGATGCAGCTAAGGCTGAACAGGAACGCATTGAGAAACGGTAAATTGAATGACGTAACAAAAAAAAAAGGAGGGATTACAGATATTCTTATATTTCCGTTTATTTTATTGTTAGACAAGCGGAAACGAAAAGGAAGCTCGAACAGTTGCGTTCGGAGGATTTAAGCTTCGAAAGCATGGTTGAAGGAAATGATTTAGTCTTTGGGACAGGTCTACAAGAATCTCCATTGACTCTTGGCGAAGTTGAGAAACAAAATATAGACAATACTATACAACAGGGTGCTCGTGCAAAAGCAGGTGAAAAGAATAAAAATAAAAAAGTTCATATGTTTTTTCTCTTTTCATTGTTTCCTTTCTTTTACATTTCGCTGTAACATCGCAATGTTAATAAAGTAAGAATCATCGTTACAGATATAGAGAAAACGTCGAGAACGCAAATGTCTCAGCGACGAATTTACGGCAGCATGTCTGGTCGTCAACGAGGAACAATTTTGGAATCTAACGACAGTGCTGGCTCGCTCGATAGTGACAGCGATTTACTTATTGACGGAGATCTCGACGACGACGACGACGATGAGGATGACGATGATCTTTTAAATTCCGTTAGAGGTACGGATATAGGGAATTACGAACGCAAGGTTGGTCAGGATAAACGATCTGTCAGCAAGCTCGATCATTCCGATGAAGATTTTTAATTAGAAATAATTTTAATCATCTTCCGTTGATTCGACAAAATCAACAGAATCGTTCACTCGATTCGTCATTTTCTCTATCTTTATTTGGTATGTATCATAAAAAATAAACAAAATAGAAAAAGATAGGTATCATCGTACACCATCATTGTATCTATTCCATAGATATTACACGCAGCATAGAGTATAAACAAAAATTGATGCAAAAATTGACGCAAAAATTCATGCAAAAAGTTGCATGATTTTTATATAATCCTTATAATAATAATAATGAAAAACAAAGTAATATTATATTAATATTGTTCAATTATGATTGTTCGACGAGCAACGCATTTTCATTGATAATGAACAATGACGAGATACAAATAATTAGCGATAAATCGTTAAAATTTTCTTCTATAATACTCTTCTATTGGGTCATTAATATTAAGTATTTCTAAGTACACATTGTACATACATTAAATATGTCTACGTCAGATATTGTTCCTATGGATATGCATAGGGAGTTTGTTTCAACACGTTGTGCGGATTTTGAGTGCGCTCATTATAAAAAATAAAAATAAATGAACAACCGAAAAAAAGGAGCGAAACTTATACATAATCTTGATGATTTATATTCACAAGAATTTGTTAACGTGGTATATAAATTATGATCGCAAATAAGATGACAAAGTGAAATATGTTTTAACATAAAAGATATATATATACATATTTTGTTCATATCAATTCTCAAAGGAATAATAATTACCAAAATGAGAAAAGGATTTTGAAAATGTTAAGATATTGATGTATTGATTTATTGCCAATCGTTAAAAGACCTTAGACCGAAAAAATTAGGCCATGACTACCGAATTAACAGTCTTTTGTTAACAGAGATTGGTTTTCTCTAAAAAGATATAATTCAGTATAAGCAGCTACAAAACGGCAGCAGCAAATAGTTAACAGTAGTCAAATAATGTTCTGCGGTAATAATTTCAATGGCAGCATTGGCATCAGTTGACAAAAATTAGTCTCGTATAGATATGTAAGTTAATTCATTTATAATATAGCTGGTATGTTTAAAAGAAAAATGATTTGTTAGCTGTGCGATATACGTTTGAGGCCTGAAAGGCAGCAGAGTATCATTGACATTTAGTATCGAAAATTTTGGATCATCATACTTTCTATCTAACGAAGAAATACAAATGCAGTAAAAATCAAATCGACTCGCTCGAGAACATCGTGTGTACTATATTATTGTTAACTTTTCTAACTTTGAATATAATGACTTATTTATTGTGCAACATATAGAGAAGCTAAAAGTGTTTGAATATAGTCCGTTTATGCGATAACGTATTCAACTTGTACATGAAATCTTGGTTCGCTTGTCAATAATAATTTTCGAACGATAGACAGAAAGTATTGGATCCGAAAAAAAGAAAAAAGATAAAGAAGAAAGGAAAAAATAGAATGATTGACTGCCACCGATGTAAACCCGATGTAAACCCGATGTAAGCCCGATGAAACGTTAGAACGCACGCATGGAAATATAAAAAAGAAAGGACAGTGAAAGAAGTAATAAACACAGACGTCAGATAATAAATTAAATGCGAGACATTTGGGGTGACCCGGTTTTTCTGACTCCACGTAGAAAAATATTGTTGATCCACTTTTGACAAAATGGACACCCTCTTTGTATGTATAATCTCGCATAACGAACAAATTGTAATTGTTCGATCGAACCTCAATCAACGAAGGCAACGTCAATCCGACGATATCGTCTCTCGTTTATCTTCTAGCCAATTATTCCGGTCGGTTATTAAGGAGATATAATAAATCCTTCGAATTTGGAGCTTCCGGACGTAAGCCGCCAACAGGGTAAAAACTTGTACGGTTACCCTGATGAAATTTGATTAAACACGTCTTCTTAACGCTTCTGAATCTTCACGAAAGATTCATCGAGTTTGTTAATCGATCGATCAAGGGTTACCATAATTGTAAAAATAGGTCCTGGCGACCCTCGGCGTGCCAGTTAAATTCCTAATATCCCATGGGACTTTAATGATAGTCTTTCGCTACCTAACTGACTTCCCCAATGGGCTAGTTTTTATTCGTGGCGTCATTATTGGCACGGGATCCAGTTCAGGCAAGGTACACTCGGTACTAAGATCTGTCCAAGCTCTATCAGTATTCTCTGCTAGCCTATCCTTGTATTTGTAGGCCGTTCTATCGACCACCGAGGGTGTTTTTATACAATCGTCGCCACCAAACTCGCATACTCGATAATGATGTAATATGGCAGCGTCCAAAGGCATGTTCAGAGTGCCATGTCCAGGTATGAATTCCCAAACGAAATGATTGCCAGCTTCAACGACTCCCTGAGGCTTGCAAACGTATTTAGATCGTTGTTTGTGCGGATGTAACTTAGTTCTTCGTCTAGTTTTTTTTAACGTGATCAGACCAGCTTCGGTTGGGGTCCTGCTCATCGTTACGAACGGATCGTCCGCCCATTGCAAATAGAAAAAGGCGTTTTGAAAGGAATACGCTCCCGTTGATTTGGTGTTTATTCGACTGCTCATCCACCTGAAAAGAATCACCGAATGAAATGAATTTGCTTTCCGGACACAATCTCTCTCTCTCTCTCTCGTACCTTATAAGATCGACTATGGTGTCATTGTGACGCGGTATGATGAACTCATCAAGATCAACGAGTGCTACGTATTCATACTTATACATGGACCGATAAAGACAATCGTTTAAAGCCGCGAAAAGTCCTTCCGTTCGTATTTCTCGTTGAGAAATCATGTCCAAACGGTGCCAAGGTAAAATAGTTACCAGGCCTTTATTTTTGTAATACTTGAGGGCACAATCGGCTTCGTTACCGACTGTATCGTTGTAAAGAGTAACGTGAGTTGCACCAAGTAATCTGTAGAGCTCGATAAATTCAACCAATTGCAATACCTGGATAAAAATATCAATTTAGTAATTGCATGGAATTTGGAATGAAAATGACTATTTCGTTACATACTCGATTGTAATCGTAATGCAAAGGTTTCACGCAAACTGCTAATGGTTCTCTGTCCTTCAATCTATCCTCGGGTCGATTCAAAACGAGAATTCGATTGGTCGGAGTTGCTCTTAATTTAGCTACGACGCTAACGGCTTCCGGTATACTGTCAGCCATGATCGATTCCTTTGGTAAAGGGCAGATAACGAAACAGGCGCTATATTTCAAATTCCAATTTTCTCTGATCACCTGTAAATCACGAACGACACATAAACAATTGTGAGAAATCGATAACGGAAAAAAGAATAACGAAATTTAATAAAAAGAGAAAATGTTAAGTATTTTGACCTTTACTTTAGCAGCCACTGTTACCGAGGCCGTTACATTTCCGCTGTTTTGCTGACGATACCAAAGTCTGCACCATACTCGTTCCGGTCCTCGAGTTTTCGTTGCACTTATAACTCGTACTATCCCTTTGTTAACGTTTCCAGATGCACCGTTACCAGTCGCCGCCGCCGCCGCCGACGCCGCCACTCTGTCGTCGTAGTATGCCGAGTAAACGAAGAATTTGAATCTGCAAATGAGTTAGCTATCGATATATCGATTGTTTATACTTGCAAACTAGGAAACTTCCTTAGAAATCGATTTTCAATTAGTTCAATTAAAGGGGAATACTTTGGACGGACCTGGTATTGGTAACTGGTAACCACTCGGCATGCGTGACCCTCAGGCTTTGGTCTAATTGCGGTAAACGAGCTTCCAAACTAGGCGGTAAGCTTGGTAGGACCCTCGGATCGGCATGAATCGCTGCCTTCTGTCCGCCTTCCTCCCCGTGAACCAATAAACCAATATGATCGTCGAAGGTACCCTTTAAGCCGATGTAGTCTTCGCCCTGGAAAATCATTAAGAAATAACTCGATATCGGAGAATATGATGGAAAGAAAGAAAGTTAGAAGAATTAGGTGATAGATCAACGCAACCCTGAGACACGACACGTGTTACTAGATAAATCTCTACTATTTAATAAACGAGCAAAAGATAGTCGATCATGCAGTGTCAATCTTATCTCTATTGATTGAATTTGCACGCCCACCTACGATTGCAAGTCTTCGAGAATTGTAAATTGAATTCTATGAAAATGCAACGACGATGATCATGATGATGATGATGACGACGATGATGATGATGATGATGATCATGACGATGACGATGATGATGATGATAATGATTGATCATGATGATGATGATGATCATGATGATGATGATGATGATGATGATCATGATGATGATGACGATGATGATGATGATGATCATGGCGACGACGACGATGATGATTATAAATATAAAATTTTATTTGTCTCTGTAAGAAATGAATCATTTGATTTTTGTATTTACTTGATTGACCAATAAATAATATCGAAATTTTCAATGTAAAGTATTAGCGACTAGCGACAATTCCGATAATACTTATTATATTGGTCAGCCTAGTTTACCCTCAAATATACACAATTGAAAACATAATATATAGTAATAGAATGATTTTCATTGAAATCTTTGTCGAAATATCGTAGCAAGTGGTTCGTAAGAAAATGTAAGGGAAAATAAATCGATATAGAAGAACAAAGTGATGCGAAAAGATGGAAGATAAGGTTTTCCGCTTGCACTTTTTTTACTCTCGGATGGCGTGAATGATAGAGAAAAAGAGGCCGAGTACAAAGTTGAGCCTAAGTGGTGGTATTAGTTCGAAAGTCCTTTTTCCTAAGCTTTCCCTCGCTTCCGAAAGGAAACGTTAGGGGATTACCAAGGCTGGTGGTAGGATCGTTGAATGGAAAATTCGCGTTTCTCCAACTTCAAACGCGACATCTTTTCGTAGGATAAATTTCTTCTGCTATGTTGAAGATGCACAAGGAATAAGTTAGAAAAAAGAGATGAGCGAAAAACAAGCAAACTTACTCTTATCCTTTAATTGTTACGTCTTTTTCTCTCACTGTTTTGTTTTTATTCGTTTTTTTTTCTTTTTTCCATGCAATCTTTTTCTCGATTATCTTTTCTATTAATCTAAAGTTCGTACTTCTTTTTATATTTTTCATTGAAAATTACACACAATTTGTGTGACAAAGTTATTATTTAAACAATTACTAAAGTTATGAAACCAGGTAGATTTGATATTGATTTATAGACCAAGAGAATCGAGAAATAACGAACGGTTTTGTAATTTGTCCATTCAAACTTACTCCGATTTCACCGTAATCCGGACGATCCGGTGCCGCTGGCAAACGGTGTCCGTTTCTGTGACCACCTAGTGCACCCGTACCGCTAACGTTTACACCTCGTCTTTCGTCGATCAGAAATATCTCCGTGAGAACGATCAGACCAAAAACGGCGAAGAACATGACTACCAGCATAAAGGACATGTTTGCCCTTTCCTTCAGGATCCCAGCGTTTCCTCGACCCCCGCCGGAACCTGATCGTCGGGCACCCATGCTCGAACAGCTCTACGTAAATCAAATAATAAACGGCACCGACTGAATCAAAGTCTTTTTTCCTATTATTTGCTGCGTAATTTTTTTTCTTTTTTTTTTTCATGTTTTTTACAATCCTTAAGAACATAAAGATCACGCATCGTCGAGAAAATTAGTTTCCTTGTGTGTGTGTGTGTGTGTGTGTACGCGCGTTCTTAAAACAGATTTCCTTAACTCGCAGGTTCAACCGCTCCATGCAAAGTATTGATTTTCCCTTTTAAAATGCAACTTGAGTACCTTAACGTTTCTTGAGAAATTTCTTCTATACATCTATGTGTGTCCGTACGCGTTCGAATAATATAAATAAGCTTTATGTTTCCAAAATATTAACTAAAATTTATTTTATATAATTGGTACCCTATCCGAAATGGGTCCTACGTGTATTTTATTGAATTATCTATATAAAACTTACTTAAAAAAGATCCAGAAAAATTGCTGTCAAGCATGAGGACGGTAGCGTCTTCTAAAATACATAAATAAAGAAGGATTGATAATTATGAAATTTTGTATTTGTTTTGTTATCTCCTTAAAATTATGTTACAAATCAAATCTCTCAATGCTTTATAATTATTATTATTAAACATGTGTGTTTAGTTACGCTCGCGCGCATTTACTAACGTAACAAAGTCAAATCAAACTCAATTTGAACATTTACTGACGTTAAGAAACCGATGTTACTCAAAATTACTAATGCCTATAGTAATGTCTATAATATATGATTTATATAATATCATTTCTAATATATAATTTCTAATATATAACATACACACTTTTTCCGCAGATCTTGATACTCGTTGTTGCAGATCTCATCGATAGAAATTCTTCTAAAAGTTTACAAGTATGTATGTATTATACATGCTTACGTATTTAATATTATCCTAGACATTCACCTTACATTGCCGGCCAAAAGTATGAAATCATTACGTAAATTTAAATGAGCTCTTTTAAGCGGAGATAGATTTGTTTGTTAACACAATTTTTATTTTTCAGTATATTTCTTCAAAAACCGTCTTAATAATATGAAATAACAATGAATTTTTATTTTTTGAATGTTTTCTATTCTATTCTAATGTAATATTTTTCGGAAAATTTTGTGGGAAAGTTAATTCCTAGCATTGCCTTAAACTGGACAAGTAATTCAACTTAATTATATTTGATATAATAACGATATATGCGAGATGATTTAATAATCAGCAAATGATTCCAAACTCTTGGCCGATAGCGTATATTAAAAATATATATAATATACATAAAACATAAATATACTGCATCGTGGGAATAATGGTTGAAAGAAAAGTAAATTATTTTAGTTTTCGTATTTCGTGTAAAAAAGGTAAATAAAAGAAAAGACAAAAAGGAATGTTCTATATCATAAATCTATTATAACTAATGTGTACTCGTATATTTTCTTTAGAAACTGCGCTTAAATGTCGATGATACTTTGATCTATTGCAAAACTTCTATCTTATCATAGGTAAATACGTTTGACTATGCACGCAGGATAAAATGTCCATTGGACGAGTTAATAGAGGAAATATTATTCGCCGTGGAAAATGAAAAATATTACCCTGGTTCGTTCACCCTCTCGATCATAGTTTGTAAAAATAGTGAATAATAATAATAATAATAGGAAATAATACATAAAATGGATGGGGTGAGCCGTTCGGTAAAAGAAAAAGCGCGCGTGGTGTGTGTGTGTGACGAGAATTGTGACTAAAGCCCGTAAAGGACACAACGATAAATGAAATAAGATAGGGGTTGGTCGAAAGACTTTAGAGGGGACTGAGTATTCGGTACTCACGTTTAAAGAGGAAAATCGTTGGAAATAAGAAGGGCGTTCTTGTCGTAGAAATGCTGTGCAAGTTTGTTCATCCTGTTTCCTCTTGTTAGCGATTCTCTTCATTCTCTTTCATCGAGCGTCGTCCCTGATGAGCGAAGCACACTCTCGGTAAGAATCAATGAGTAACACCTCAATGAAAAATGTTTTCTTCTTCTTGTTTCTTTGTTATCGCGAAGGGAATGTAATAAGAATAATGAAAAGACAAGATAGGGAAATAAAGATAAAAAAGCAGTAATGGTCCACGTCGGTGGTCCGCGTCGGTCGCGAATGGGAAAGTTAGGGTTGCATAGTCTGGTCTATCTTTCGCGCGCACGCTCATCACGAATAGCAACATCGATCGAAGCACCCTCTACTTAACCGTCCACGTTGATTGGTCCTTTTATGCGAGATGCGCGCACGCGTTTAAATTTTCACTGTACAAACGAGCGCTTGCGCTTTATATATGTATATTTATTACGAACATTAGCTCATTTTTCCTAATCGTTAACTGAAATATTGACAAAATCATTGATCAGATCAATCAGTCAGATCAATTGCACATAGATTCATTCAAATATATAATAATAGTTTGAAATGTCTTCCATTCACTCAGATGAATTTTTGCGTTAATATTCGTTGTGATTCGTTTGTAATCACAAGTTCGATAAGATCATACAATGATAACATATCGTGGGAGATTCATTTCTTTCTAAATATGCGATTTTTATCATTCGATTGGTATATATGTAACTAATAGTCGACGTGTAACTTCGATAAATAAATTTAATAAACAAATTGATATTATTTCCATACGGTATTTCATACGGCATTCAGACCGAACTATTCATTAATATCTGAGGTATACTTCCACAATTGTTAAATGATAGCGACAGAGAGGAATCGTAATTGGTCAAAATATTTTGTAATTTTTCCGACCAATTCCAAAAGATGAGCTTTTGTTGTCTGGCTTCCAAATCGATATGAAGTAGAGCGAGATTTTTAGCTACCGTCGAGTCGATTCTCAAAACGTTGCGGCCTTCTATTATTACCGGTAAATTTTCGGGACATCTGTCACACCTAGATAATTATAAGTGATGAAAATATGAATCAATATTTAGAAAATATTATCGATCATCTTACCATTCCATCACTTGTTCTCTCAAGTATTCCGCAGCTGGAAAACTCAAGGATTGTTTGGGTAAGACGAAAATCACAGTTATATTGTCGTCGACGAAAGCGCGTTCTTCGATCAATAGGCCAGGTCTGGCCGTAAAATAAAGTAGGTGAATAAGATTAATCGCGATACCAGCGATCATACCATATTCCAAGCTTAAAGCCAAACAACATATCAGAGTAACCATCAAGGGTACGATATCAATTCCTGTGAAAGTATACAATAAACAAACTATAAAGCATTCAACTAATATATACTAATATATATTATCCGCGCAATGTGTGTTAAATGCGCAACAGGTAAGTTCACTTAAAGTCTTACTTTTCGTGCGCCAAAGAGTAGAAAATACGTCGACTTCAAACATGTAATACATAGCAATGATTATTACAGCAGCTAGAGTGGCTTTCGGGATGAACTTAAAAGTCGACGTTAAAAGACCACACGCTAGTAACACTAAGAGACCGGTTATTATGCCACCCATTGGAGTTTTAACGCCGGATGCGTTGTTCACCGCGGTTCTGGTGAAACTACCGGTCGTTGGCATTGATCTAACGAAACTTCCAATAACATTGCACAGTCCAACCGCTAACATTTCTTGCGTTGCATCCAAAGTCTTTCCTTTGGCTATGATTCCAAGGAAATAGACAACAATTCATATATTAATTAATATTAGTTAGTTAGATAATAGAAAATGGTTTAGAAAGATTAACCTTTGCCAGGTTAACTTTTATTTGATTCAATTAACTTTTATTGAATCGTACAATCTTATATATCGTATATTTTTCAATCATATGCATATTTTTCAATTGATTTTATTTTAGATAATGCAATCGTGTCAAGAACGTTCCTACCTTTATTTCGATTATTAATGCTTTTCAAAGTCGATAACACGCGTTCTTGGTGGTCTACTACTATTCCTAACTATTTGCATATACATATAGGCATAGATAAATAACGTATATGAGATAGGGAGTGATAGCTTGCATTATTGCCTGCTTTTGATCTACTTTTTTCTACTTAGGTATATCTTCATCGAGTATTTATAAGACCACTAGAGAAGTGCATAAGTTCATTCAAACGCAGTTTCCTTTTTCTTCACTTCAATTATTTTTCAACTATTATTATTATTATTATTTTTGTTTCTTCCAATTGAAATAATAGCTATAATAATTGTAAAACGTACCGAAAGCCTTGGCAATAGCAACACTTTCCAAAATGGCGATAGCTGGTATCGATACGATACTACCACCAAGTTCTTCGATCAATTCGGGAAAATAATAAGTCTTGTTGCCAGTGTCTAGAGAAAATGGCGGTGGTCTGAAAGGTGGTAGACCTTCTGTAATCTTTCCAGTAATCATGAAAGGTTTAAGGTCGTATAAAGATAAGACAAAAGCCAAGACTGTACCCATAACAACGACCACCGCATTTCTAGCCAAACAGGCTAGCCACATCATTTTTTCCAATGTAGTTCCCTTTTTTTTGCCAGGCAAATTCTGGATTAATCCAAACATTGTTTCGTTATTTAAGATTAGACAAGTCACTAACGTTTTTTTCAATAATTATCATGATTAGATAAAATATATATATCGAAATAAATATATCTATCGATAAGATATAAATCTTATTATCTTCGAACTCGAATTTTGAAATTCTTTTTTTCTTTTTCTTACCAATTTTATGTCATTGAAATTGATGCTAATCTTGCAATATGAGACTAACCTTTAAACAAACCAACAATATTATTGTTATCACGCCAAGAAGAGTATCCCACAATGTTATGCGATCATAGCGATCGATTATTTGACCGATCGAGTCGACAAAGGAATCGCTTCTACCTTCTATACCAAGGAGTTTGCCTAATTGTGAAGCTGCTATGATTATTGCTGCGGCATTAGAAAAGCCACTAATCACTGGCATACTTATAAAATCGACAAGGAAACCCAACTGAAATATTCCCATTGCTGTTATTACGCATCCTGATAAGAAACATATAAGAACCTGCAAAAAGGATAGTAATATTTATGATTTAGCATATCATTTATAACAAATATATCTATTTATATATTCCTTACAGCAATATCTTCTCCTAATTTCACGACATGATGTTGAGAAAGTAACGCCATTATGGCCGTAGGACCTACAGTTACTTCTTTTGTACTACCAAACACCAAATACACGAAACATCCCATGAAACTGCTATACAATCCATACTGTAATTTGCAATATTCAAAGAAATTTCATTGTTTTTCAAAGATATAAATTGAATACAATGCATTTGATAAAACGATTGATTATCCAATGAAACATTAGCCATCTTCATCAAATTGCTAATAATATCTTCATTTATACTTATTGAGGTGCTTATTTATACTTACCTGAGGTGGAAGACCAGCGACTGTTGCATAAGCTATACCTTGCGGTATAACTGTCAATCCGACTGTAAATCCCGCCAAAATATCTTGCAAACATTTTCCCAAGCTATAAAGTCTTAGCCAATTTAAAATCGGTATTCTTCGAACAAGGATTTCCTTGATGTTACAGTCTCGAGTGGTAGAAAATATACTTCTCCCTGTAAAGCAAAGGTAAAATAATCATTCTTCATTTGTTCGCGTTTGTTCGCTGAGAAAAATTACAAAACCCAAAAACACATGATTTTAATCATTATTTTCTACATGCATATATCAACGTACACAGAATCATATCTTATCGATTAAAACATCACTACAACAAATTCTTCGAGTTTTTGTGATATCAAATTAAAAATAAAAATATGTTTAAACGTGTAGAGAAGCGTCAAGCAAAAGTTAATTATTAATAAGCCAATGTTGTTGTTACGAGCAACATGAAAAGACTGAACCATGCTAAACGATTAGAGCGATATGAGCTAACAATAATCTTTCTTTACTGATTCAAGAACTATTTAGATTGGATTTCAAATGAGATAACACGCGATTCATGCACGATTACTCGTTATTTGTCAGATAATACTATTCAAGTGTATGACTACAAAATATTTTAACAAAATATGACAACGTGGATATAGCCCAGTCAATAAGAGGTGAAGGAAAAACTTTCAGGTAGAAGTTCTCGACAGTTTGATACAAAGGTAATTCGACGTCGCTGAATCGAATGGTGCTAATTTTTTTGCAATACGATGTGGCCTTTACGAGAAAAAGGGTAAAAATGGCCGTATCTTAGAATCTAGGCATTTAATCGAAAAAAGTTTCAAACAAAAGTTGTAGATAATT